TTGTACCATCTCTCTCCCGTCTCACTTCCTTGATTCTCTAATCTTTTGCTCCTCTCCTTTTTTTTTTTTCTAACATATATATTTTTAAGTCCTATCCTTCCCTTCAGTATCATCAAACTCCTCCCCCACCCCCCCCATCCTCCCCAGTATCTCCCAGCTTGGGGGTGTTCAAAGATTCGCCCCCTCGAGCGCAGGCTGAGCCCAGCCACTTCATCCGGCTGAGTCAGCTGCGTGCGCAGTTCTTCCTTTCTTGATGAGAGAGACGGTCACACCCTATATCCAGGCCCAGAGACCAGCAAGCTAAGGAGCAAAGGTTTAACACTCCTCAGGGGCACAGCCTCCTTCACGGAAACTGCCAAGTATACTAGAGAGGGAATGAACATCTCAGCCAGGCTTCTGGGCCTTTAATCACACAGGGAAGGACAGACCAGCACAGGTGCTGTAATAATGAACGCGAGGTTCTTGGTAGGCTAATCCTTGACTTATTGTGACCCACGGCATCAGCACTCACTTTAACACAGTGGGGAGATCCAGGCCAGGCCAGACAGAGCGAGCTGCTGTTAGTCTCCACGGAGATTTTAATGGCCCATGACAGGATGCTGGCAGAATTGGACGTCACATAGTTAGACTTCATCATTCTTCTGTCTTAATATCTAATGTGTATGAGAATAGCTGTCAGTATTAACATAAAAAGTCACCCCAGTATCTTGTCATCAGATTTCTCTAGATGTAAACGAGGCAAGATGCATGTTCCTACATTGTGGAATTTTACCTTTAATAATAGAATAATAATAATAATGTTACAGTTATCATGGCGTATTTCTTAACGTGTTTTATATGACATAATTCCAGCTTTCAGTTTTCTGGTTTAAATCTGACCATTCAGCCAATATCTCCATCGTCTGATGATGACCTGACCGGGAACAAAAGCTGTCATCTTGCCGACCTTGCTGGCCTCCTCTGGGAGGCTGAAGCAGGCTGTGGAGCCCAAAGACGGCAGAAACCACCTTTAAACTGCATTTTTAACTGGCTACTGAAATCATATATTAAAGATTTCGTATTGTCAGCTATAACAGCACTCCAAGTCTTGGCCCTGGAGTTCACTGGGTTTGCTGGTTTTTAGTTCAGCTAAGCTCTTAATTGGACTTAATTTAGTCATTGATCAAATTGTTTACATTCTTTTTATTTATTATTTTAAATTAAACCTTAAACCAAATACACTGCCTATTCTCATTTTCCAGACGTTGCATAATAATTTAGGTGGTAGGGAGGGAAAAAATACAGATGTTTCTAAATATCTTTACCCCCCCCCCCCCCCCTTAACAATATTGTAATTAGTAATCAGTTGTTATATTTTCATTTGGCACACTTGAACAATTAAAGAAAGACATATAAGTTTAACAATGAATTTGCGAAAACTTTTGGCGCAGATTATTTTTAAAATTAGTTTTTAAGTCTAGTTCACACCAAGAAAATGTGTGACGTACTCAAGTGACATGTTGCACGATTACAGTCGTGTGGCAGAATATCACAGTATATTTGAATATGTCCTGTTTACCAGTCCAGCAATGCTCAGATTAGCTAACTGGACCGCGGTCTGTTTTAGGACTGAGGCTGTCAGCCGTTTAAAGGCAGGGAAGACCTGCAGGGGCCCATGTTTGCCCTCGTCCGCGGGCATGTCGAGCTGAGCCCCCTGTTCTACATACAGCTCTGTGTGTAGCTGAATATTGTTTTATGTCTCTGAGCCATACTCGCGCCTGCAGTGAGAGTATAATGTTTACAGTGTGAGAGACAGTGTGGTCAGGTCCAGGGAAGGCGCCGTCTCACTTTCACTGCCGTGTCAGCTCTTTGGGTCCGGCTCGGCCCAGGCTGATCTCTCAGGTGCTTAAGTAGAAGACGAGTTAGGCCTGCCGCAGGTCTCACCTGCACAGCCAAGCAGGGACGAATATCAGCCTCCTGAAAATGTGCCTTTTTTTCTGCTGAACCAGCACGCCTCAATCTGGGAGGGTGCCGACACTCTGCCAGCACCCCCCCCCCCCCCCCCCCCCCCCCCCGACCGCATCTGCCATTTCACCATCACCTCACCTCTTTGGTCCTCTCTCACGACACCCCGATCAGGGGGAGCTCTTGTGCCAGTGAGGGAGGAAGATTGGACAGCCTCTCCAGAGACCCCTGCTCCCAGCCCGGGTCTGCGGCTGCCGTGCCTGTGGATGCACAGCTCAGCCGCTGCCACTTCCTGTCTGCCCCCTGCCACTTTCCCAGCATCCCTGTCCACGTCCGGCTGGGAGGGGGGAGGCTTCATGCAGACGCCGTTTCCATGGGGGACAGGAGTCTCTCCACGTTCTGTCTGTTTCCACGCCTTTCACCTTTTCCCCTCGTCTCTTTTTTTTTTTTCTGTTTACCCAAAGCAAGCAGCATATAGGATCGTGCCCTACAGGCGAACAGGGGGGGGGGGTTCTATTTTCATGAACTGTCAGAATCCAGCTACAACTGCGCTGGATGGATATGGAGCAAAAAGAGAACTCGCAGTATTTGAACACAAGAAATTTTCACCATAGAGTGTTTATGCAGTGCACAGCTGCGGAATGCACTACCCTGAACTGACGCCGGCCGAACTTGATCATTTGCTACCCCCAACGCCCTTTTCTTCATTCCGAGGGCCTGCCCTCCACTTTTTCTGCCCCGTAGCTTCTCATGTTGGGAGGGAAATGTTTGTGGCGGAGGGAGGGCCGGTGTCGTAGATCATGATACTCCTCTTCCTTGCATGAAATCATGGATGTACTTTTTCATTTTGCATGTGTAATTATGAACTCCAAAGGAGTGCCATGGTAATGTGGTGAGGGCTGTGGATTCTGCTTGGGCTTCATTGCAGGTCCTGGGGTGTGACTCAGAAGTGAAGACAGGAAGATGGTGCTTAACTCTGCCTCATTACAGCATAGTGAAAGCATGTCCTCCAATCTGGACAGCAAGTACTGAAATCTGCACATGGTTTGAATTATATGGGAAGTTTTCATATGGGAAGTTTTCATATGGGAAGTTTTCAAAAACCCAAGCTTTTCAGAGGAGAGGGTTATTTGACTGGAGCATTTGCACAATGTAGGGTTAAGGTTTGGGTTAAAGGTAACTGTCATGTAGGTAAAGACCCCTCGCTTTCACCTGGAACATTCCTGACCCGCTAGGTGGTGAACAAGTGGCCTGGGAGGCTGTAGAATACTCTGTGTGTTCATTGGACACACCATGCATGTGATACTCAGTCAGCCAAAGTATAGGATCATGGATCCTGACCTGCCCAGCTGCTCGTAGAGCACGGTTAAACTGCACTTTGTCCTCATTTTGGGTTTAATGTTTTGTGTTTTTTTTCTTCTATACTTTATTCGGCAAATAAAATTCTGTGATGTGTGTTTTGCATCTCATTCCGCATGGTCACCCATGATGTAAGCCTTTGGTTATTTTCCCTTTCGGTGGTACAAAGACCGCAATGTGTCTGTAGAGACAAATGGGACCCACTCCGCAGTAAAACCCGAAAGTCCAGCTGATGTGGAAACCTGTCATCTTCGCTTTGAGGAAGTGCTGGAACCTGATAATCAGAAAAATGAGAGTGGTGCTCCTGCAGGTCTGTCCGCTGATTTACTGTGCAAAGCTGGTCACTGGTTCAGAAAGTAGCGTCGTCCTTAAAGCGCTGCTGCGCTCAGGCTGGGGTCTGGGGTTCCTCTCTTTAGAGAATGTGGGGGGTGGCGGTTGGACGCTGGCACTATCTGACATTTGTCATAATGTTAACGTTACTTGTTGAGCAGGATGCCGATTTGTATCATTCTAGCAGATTTTCCTCCCTTGCAATCTGCCAGCCGGGATTCCTGGAAAGGGCCCTTGTATCTGGCTAAATTTGTGATTCCCCCGTAGGAAAACAGTAATGACGGTAAGAGTGTATTTTTTGGGGGAAAGAAAAAGTGGTGTTGAGCTTTGTAAAACACAGGACCCCGAGCAAAGGGCAGTTAGGAGAAACTAGATTTGTATTTTTGGCAGGAAATGTTTAAACTCGGCTCCGATCCGGAAATTAATGGTAGCCAATGAGCAGTGTCCTGAACTGCCAGTCGCTGAGGGGGACTGACGTCTGGGGACTGACTGCCTTTTCCAAATTAAAAAGCAGTGCTTGTTAGGTTCTCATTTCTAATCTATCAAATGGATGAATGATCTGGAAGATGAAATTGATGGATACTGGAGGTGGATTCTGATATCTTTGGGGCTTAGTTATGGTTTGAGGGAGCTTCCAGTCTTTCAGTTGGAGTAGCATGGACCCTTGGAGAGGCTGGAGTCCTGAAAAACAATTGCTTCTCTAGCTGGATGTTCTAGCACCAACAGTAGTTTTGTTTAGATATTCAATGATTTTGGGCCGTGATTTTATTTATGGTGTTATTTTCCCTGGACTCTGGCATTCGAGCAGACGTATTTTTTGTGTGTTTTTTTTGGATTTCTGCAGTCCCATCAATATTCACCTCGTCTCTCTGTGGATGTTCTGCCTCTTCTTCTCATCTCTGTAGAGCGCTTGCAGTCCCCACGTAGGAGAATGTTGCGATGATGCATTGGGGGAGGAGTCTAGCTCCGGCAGCATCCGAGGGGGTGCGGCCCTCAATCTGTCAGATCACGATAGGAGTGGGGTGGGTTCAGAACATGAGGAGGAGGAGGAGGAGAAAGAGGAGGCGTGGCCTAACACTGAGGATCCTCCCGGCGTGTGCGTCCAAGTGGAAAAGGCCACAGTGCCCTGCCCGTCGCCTGAGCCGCAAGGCCCTGGCGACTGTCCCCTCCCTGGCGCTGAGGAGCAGGACCATCCGCCAGAAGCAGAACCGCAACCTCAGTGTGGTGTTGTGGCAGCCTCTCCCATCTCCTATTTTGTGAGCGGGGGTCCGTACCTCATTCGCTGCTTCCAGGTATAGCCGCCACGCCTGTCTGTCGCTGTAGCGGCTCTCCTGTCTCCCGTCGACACCGGCCTGGGGAATCACGCAGCTCTCCTCTGCACCCTGCAGCAGGCTAGCCTGTATCCCTCCCACCCCAGAGAGAAGCTGCTGGGTTGCTGTAGACGTTTGCAGACGTCTGGTGGGAGCGCCCCCTGCTGTTCGAGGGGAGGCAGCCTGCTGCATGGGGCACTTGGTGGTGGTTTCACCGGGGCGCCGTCTCTCCTGACTCCTCCCACCCGCGCCGTGGACAGTACCGGCGACGCGGTCGGGCCCCCGCTTTCCGCCGTGGTGTCGGAAGCCCACTTCTGCTGAGCTTGGGTGTTCTCTGGCCCCTTGGTCCGAACCAGACCGGGACGCCTAACGGGAAGATCATGGGGAACCACTTGCTGTCCATCTCTAGTAGGGAACCGCTGTGCATGGTGGTGGGGTCAAACGGGGTCTTTCTGCTCTAGTCAGGGGGAGTCAGTAAGTGTGCCGGGTCAACTTACCTGATATTTTACTGAAAAGTGACGAATGCATTAGCTTCTGATATAAACCACAATTTGGGGAGCCAATAAGTTGGGGTGGTGATTTGGTAGGTCTGGGTGCTTATGATCAGAAGGTTGCTGGTTCAAATCCCAGGGTTGGCAGATTGATTTCACTGCTGGACCCTTGAGCTTGGGATAAAAGCAAATGCTAAATAAATCTAGTGTAAATGTTACTGCTCTCACTGCTTGCCGTTGAGGCCGATGTGTTATAAGTGTAACTTTATCTGTAGGCTGTTATGGTCTGGGTCTAGCACCGCCATTCTCAGTCTGCCTCATTCCTGTCATAGCCTCCCCTGGTAAAGACCCAGACTGTCACCATCTCAGAAGGCTCCGCCTCCCTCCACACCGATATCTCCACCATGGAGGTCCCCATCGTCCACACAGAAACTAAAACCATCACATACGAGTCGGCACAGGTAGGAGATTGCTACTGTCTGGGTGTTTGTGGACTGACTGCTACGCAGCCCTAACAGCGACCATCCACATGCCCTCCCCCTCCCGCAGCTGGCACAGCGTGACGGGGACAGGGACTCAGACGTCATCACGTCGGAGATGGTCAGCAGTGCCACCACCACGCAGATCACGAAGGTGAGTGAGGTAGCAACCAGCTAAGACCACCCACTCTGATCAGCTGGCTGCCCAGAGTACCGAGCTTTAGGCAGGAAAAAACGAAGATCTTCGCATACTACTCTAGCATACTACTCTAGCATACTACTCTGCGACTATGACTCTCTATACTCAACTGGGTGGTTGAAACAAAACCTGGGTCTAGATTTATACTTTCTGGACCTGAAGTTTTCCGACTGTAAGGGATTACTTTTGTGAGTAACTTCCACAACACTGCATGCACAAACATTTCCCACTGCCTCAGTAAATCTATTATTAATCTTAACCGTGTATTACCTGATTTATAAACATGGTTACTGGATGAGTAGTGGGTCCACATGCTGAATAGATACTGTCACTACGTCTGGGTGCTGTCAGGAACATTATGGACCAGACAGGTCAGAGGAGCCCCAGAGTTCGTTTATAGAGCTTTTTATCCTGCTTCGTGGGCTAGAATAATGGTAGTATGAAGTGCTGAGATCGCTGCCAGTGCTGTGAAGTGAATCTCTTACCGAGTCTGTATTCCTCTCCTTCTCTTCCTTCTCCGCTCTGACTCCGATCCCTGGCTCTCGTGGTCTCCTCCTCACCACTCTCATCTCAGACGGTAAAAGGCGGCGTCTCAGAGACCCGCATTGAGAAGAGAATAATCATCACTGGAGATTCTGACATTGACCACGACCAGGTATGTCTTAATATGTGTATTCCTCAGATCACTGCCCAAGGCTGGAATTCTTGTAAGCTCATGGGAGTTTTGCTTGCACAAAAAATGTTCTGAGGGCAGAATGAAAAATGATTGGTTCAGAGACATAACCAATCGGATTGTAGAGGAGGTGGGTCCAAGCAACTAGAGGAAATGGGGCCAAGATTGATTGGTTGGTCCCACCTCTACAATCTGATTGGTTATCTTTTTGAACTAGTCATTTTTTGTTCTGCCCTCAGAACATTTTTGTGTAAGTAAAACTCCCATGAGCTTCTTGTACCTGACACTGCGATGGAGCATGTTTGTCTGGGCTGCTGCGAGCGGCCATGAGAGAGGAAGGGCTTCACTGTACAGCTGTACCTTGAAATGGATCGAACTGCCTCTTCTACTTAGGAATGATTCTATGATTGTAGATGGGGAGCATAAAAGGGGCCATAATTTATCCAGAGGGGCCAACCTTATTAGCAAATAATATGTTTTGAATCGTTGAGCGGTAGGGGAGGGAGCCCTCCAGCTTTCAGCGGAGCAGAGGTTAAGTATTATTCTCTTCACACTTAGATCACTGTGTTTCTGTTCATCTAGGCTCTGGCCCAGGCCATTAAGGAAGCCAGGGAGCAGCATCCAGACATGTCAGTCACCAAGGTGGTGGTGCACCAGCAGACGGAGATCAGCCCCGAGTAAGGTGCAGCGCGGGGCCTGCGGAGGTACGCACCACGCCTCCTTCAGCCCGTATCACGCCCTGTTTATACCTTGGAAGCCTGCCGGTCTGTTGAGGTGTACTGAAGGCGTTCCCTCACATGCTAATGGTGCTGAAGTTCTGGGTTGTTCTGTTCATTGGAGCTTTTCTCCTTCCAGGGCGGCATCCAGAGACTTGCTTCCTCCGCACCTCACCGGCCACCTGACCCCCAGCTTCCAGCCCCGCCTGCCGGATCCCCCGTCAGCCCCCAGTCAGCCCCCAGCCCCTCTGCCTTACCCCCCGGGCACCATCCTCCACAGCCGCCTTCTTTTTTGCTTCCTCTCATCTTGTGATCAGGGTCTCTAGCAACAGATGTGACCCACCAGTGACCTTTTTGTACTGGTTTTGTTCTCTGGTTTGTAAACAAGTCTCTCAGCAGCGCTGCGGATGTTTGCCCTGCTGTGGGTGGTGCGTCTCCATTAATCTGCAGCCACATCTCTTGCCCCAGTGACCTGCTCACTGTAACCAGGGTTCTGGTGCATCTTTCACCTCTGATTGTAACACACTGTTTATTTTGGTCTTAATTTGAGTGGCCTTGGGTAAGTAGAGGGAGTTCAAGTGAAATAACTCTATGAAATGTCTATATTGGCTCCATCTTTGTGCTGCATAGACAACATTTTAGATATTCTGGCTTTTAAATAACATTCAAGATGACAGGTGCCTAATTTTTAAGTAGCAGAGAAAATATTTTATAACACGTCAGACTTTGGCCAAGTGTCTATCCTCTTGGGTTGTGTCTCTCTGCCAAGAAATCCTTCTTAAGCAAGGAGCACATTCAGCGGTGCTTGATTGTGTGTTTACTCAGTTAAAAAATAGTTCTTTTTAATTGTGGCTTTTAGCTTATCTGTGTAGTGTAAACAGCTGAAAACAAAAATGAAAGTGAACCAGGAGACATGTTTTGAAGATGATGGGTCATATCATGATGATCAGGTTCAACTACAGCTTTACTTCTAAGACAGAAATAATCATGGTAGATATGAAGTCCAGAAGAGTTTATTCTTGTCCGCATATTGCTCTGCCCAATCAGAGGACCTTGTGATGGTGGAACAAGTCTCTGTTACCCACAATGGTGGGTTTATCACAAACCAGTAACTCATACCTCATCAGGTCAGCCTCCTAACTGGGCCCTTGATGATCGATTGCCTAGTGGACCAGTGAGACCAGCAGATAAGTACCCCAGTGGCTGAGTTTTCAAGTCTCATTCAACCCAAAAAAAACATTTGACACAACTATTTTGACACAGCAGAAAGAGTTTGATTAATCTTGGAAATTTTGTTTTGCCAAGTCTCTGGAACCTCGAACCAAAGCGATTAGGCAAATGGCCTAATTTCAGAATTGGGTAAAACTACTTTGATGACTTTTGGAAACAGCACATTATGGCCCAGTATCTTTCCTCTGGGGGAAATGGTAACATTTCAGCATCACTGACTTTCCCAGGCAATGTGAAAACATGGAAGGCAGCAGGAGATTATCGCCATCTAGTCAAATGAAAGGTTTTATATTGTGGCCAGGCGTGTTTATAAATGTCGAAAGAATGAGATTAGCAAGCTCTGGAGCTTTTATGTTCGTTCTGTACTTGCAAATGTATCTAACAAGTTTGAGAATGTTACAGCATTCAATATGGAACCACATTGAAACATATCAGAAGCTCTTACTGCTCTGCAGCAGGTATTACTGAGAAAACATGGAGGTGAATCAGAAGTATCACGTTCGGTGTCACCATCCACAATTTGAACCCCCAGCAGAACATGGGTTGAATCAAATATTCAACCTGTATTTCAAGCAAGCAAACAGTCATCTGGTATGCTGTGACTAAGCGTGGTCCACTGGTATCGGAGCATTGTACTTCTCTGTGACTTAGCCTGGACCTAGCCTGGACCTAGCCTGGAGCTGTTGTAAGTGACCTCCACAGTCTTTTAAACACGGGTAACAAGAGTCCTTGAGCACAACCGTCCTGCAGGTGTTGATGTGTTTAAATATTTATTATGATTATTTATCGTCTGGAGAAGCGTCCTCAGGGTTGTGACTGCGGTAGCAGCACTGTCTTCGCAGGCTGGTAATCTGCTCACATGTCTGTCAGAAATCCTCCAACCTGTGCGTCGATTTTTATTTAAAATACCTTGCAGAGTGTGTCCCCATTTCCCCATAGCAAAGGCCAGCAGAGAACTGGTTAAACATTCAGATGGAGCATAATTGTCTCATTGTGTCCTGGCTTTGTGTTAAAATCAGCAATGTTTAACGATGTTTTTTAATATGCTTCAGATCAAAGCAATGCAATAATTCAATTCCATTTCTTTTCTATGCTCTTTTGCTAAAGACGACTGGATATCGCATTTTCTATATATATTTTTTTTGACTGCCAGAATGGAAAATACTATTTGTTTTATATACCTTTTTCACCACTGACTATTGTATAGAGTAGATGCATATTTGTCTATGGGCTTACTTTTTAAACAAGAGAAAAAATAAGAGGAGGCATTGTGATGGCCTGTTCTGTTTGTGTGTGTGGGGGGGACAGAGGGGGTGCCATCCTCTTTTTTTTGTTTTTATTGTAACTGCAGGAAGAAGTGAGAATAGAACAGAAATGTTTTTTAGATTTTACAAAATGCTTTCTGCCTGATTGTTATTTGAGAAACAAATCTGAAAATAAAGTTTTAATCGCGTTTAAGACTTCTTCGGCGAGGTCCTAAGGATGTGTCTGTGTGTGAGGAAAGAGGCTTTGTAGTTCGTGCTTTTATTGTTTAATTAGTTCTGCTGCGGAGGTATCAGAAGGCAGAGAGGACAGCATCACGCACGTCCTCTATGCCGTCCTCCATGTCTGTGTGGGGGCGCTACTGGCCCAGGTGCCCAATGGCGCGTCTGCGTTTGTCAGCGGGAGAGAGGAGGACCGCAACTTGGAGTCGTCACGATGCGCTAGAGCCCGGCGGACGCATTGGAACACTGTGGGAACAAACGCAAACCAAACTGGTTTACTCCGTGACCAATAGGAGACTGTCCATCACCACCCACACCAGTAGAACACGACAAGCTTAGGATGTAAACACTGCCGGAAAGCATTCAAGCAGCGGCTGACATCAAGGTCCTTTTACCTCGGGCTTGATAGCATTTGCCCCTGAATAATCTTCAATTTCCTGACGAAAAATTCCTGCAGATTTAGTCCTGTGCAGTCAAAATTTATTAAGTTAAAAGCTATTAATTTTGGCAGATAGTTGATTGACCCCAACCTCCTCGCTCCACAAGTTTGGCTGCTGGCCAGACTGGGGAATGGTTGGGGGGTGTGGTTACCCTGATAGATTCAGGGAGCCTTGTAAAGGCTAAATTGCAATCTACACGCTCAGGGAACATCATACAACCGCTCTGCAAATTGTACCAGTGGAGGATCCGTATTTCGTGGATTGAAAGTGGCAACCCAGCGGCGGTCGATGGAGACATCAGAGGGCTCGGGCTGTCTATCAACCCCCTCGGTCCCAGGGCATTACAGCAAACCCGGAGAGTATGTGGTGTGGTAACTGCCGACCTTTGGTCCGCTCCAAGCAGGACCAGTGACAGCTGTGGTTGCGAGCAGTTGTGTAAGAGATTCGTCATAATCTGGATCAGTTTAGGTTGCTGGTCTGCTCTATATTTTATCTCAAGCTGATGGCGAAGAGGCATACGCAGCTGCAGACCTACCTCTGATTTTAAAGTGAAACAATTTTTAGGCAGAATTCCAAAATGCTAGGGGGAGTGCACGGCTGCAATTTTTATCGTTTATGGAATTATTCTCCTCAAAAACGAAATCAACCCTTTAGGTCTGTATCTGGCTAGAATTTATGTATTAATCCTGCATGGCCTTAGGCAGCAAGCCTTCTGCCTTCACGATTCTCTGCAGAAAACGCACACCAAGGCACAAAATTCAAGATAGAAAACAAACTCGCCAAAAAAGCTTTGTGAAATGTGCCACCCATAGCCAGGTAAGCCCAGCCGGCTGATTGGCACATAAGATCCTAAAATGGGTTTAACAACATCACAGTTACTTTTTATGACTTTGGCAGCAAAACCTCTTCACAGGTTTCTCAGTCCAACCAAAGAGCTGGACTAAACTTCACAAATCTCTATAGTAAACATTTCAAAAGAACTTGTGAATTAAAGCATTAACTTGCAGAATCTTTCATAGGTACTAATCAAAAAATGAGTACTTTGGGCTAAGCCTGTGTGTCTGTAATCAGAAGGTCGCTGGTTCAAACCCAGCCTCAGCATGTCTGTGGGTCCTTGAGCAAGGCCCTTAACCCCCAGCTCCCTGGGTGCCGCTACGGGTGGCTGCCCTTCATGGACAGCTTACTCTACAAAGAGCAAGTTGAAGAAGATGTAAAAAGACAATTTGTAACCAATAAAAGTACTTAGAGTACTAAAAGTACTTAATAAATGTCCAAAAAGTGCTATTAATCACAATGTACCATCCAACCCCCTATCCTGTTCAGGGTCGTGGGGGGTCTAGAGCCTATGGGCACAAGGCAGGGAACAACCCAGGATGAGGCGCCAACCCATGGCAGGGCACACTGACATCATACACTCACAATATACACTGACATCATACACTCACAATATACACTGACATCATACACTGACATCATACACTGACACATGCTCATACAGGCAATCTGGTAACTCCAATTAACCTCAGCCTGTTTTTGGACTGTGCAGGTGGAAAATTGCAGCACACAGAGAAAACCACATAACAACACAGGGAGAACATACAGACTCCACACACATGGGGACTCAAACCCAGGTCTCAGAGGTGTGGGGGGACAGTGCTAACCACAGTGACGCCGTGACACCCCCGAAAATGTACCTTATAATCCAACATTTCATAAACAGCAGTTTCCAGAAATTTCTGCATTTTGTAATATTAAGAGACATTATCATTTAAACCATGTGACATGGATGCAATGGAAGCTTGAGTTGGATATGGGTCTAACAAAACTGCAGGAACCATATCAAAGACAGCTGTTTCTGGGAGTGTCAAAGTAAACAAAACCTTCACTCTGTTTGGACGTGCAAGAACTTCGATCCTGCATGCGAGGCTCCCAGGTCTCCCAGCTGCCATTCCCAGCCTAACTGAGATACACTACCTTCCATTTTCATATCTCATGCGGCTTTCTTGCACTCATCCACGCACGTGTATGGTAGAAGAAAAAAAATCAGTTGGTAAGAACCTTGGTTTTCTGATTAGGTGAACAAATACGCCTGTTAAGATATAGAGTATGATCCTCACATTGATGCAGTCGTTGGTTCCGAAACCTCCCAAATGGAGATAAAACAAGTGTCAAGAAATACAAACAGACAAATGAAGAATGAAATTAAGGTTGCAAAACCAAATGAGTAAAAGTAAAAGTGAAACCAATAATGAAAAGTTAGAGAGATCTATAATCACCTGTTTGATAGCTGGACCAGCTTCCTAAGAATCGGCCCATTTTCACTAAGAATGTATGTAACCTGACTCTTTTAGTAAGACAACAGCATACATGTGTTTTGGCTCAAAGGCCTATTTGTCTGAAGCAATTATTTCCATCCATCCATTCATCTTCTGTAGCTGCTTATCCTATTCAGGGTCATGGGGGGTCTGGAGGCTATTCCAGAGGCTATGGGAATAAGGCAGGGAATAAGGCAGGGTGGGGCACCGAGCCATCGCAGGGCTCAATTATTTCCTCATGTATAGATTGCATTTAACATTCAAATTAAACACAAATTACTGCATTTGGAGCATCATTAAAGTAATATGTGTAGTTGTTTTGTTGTTCAGAATTTAATACGTTATTTAGTCTTAAATCTTTCTCCACTTTCTCCAGTAAGATTAATTGCGCAGAGATCTGGTCACTGTGCCAGCATGGAGGATGTCATGGTTTCCCAGCACGCTCACGCAGCCATTCGGTGACGTCACTGTGTGCTGTCACCCGGCATGGCGCCACTCTCATGGGGACAGGATGCACACCATCACTAACAAGGATTCAGTATTTATTAGCAACACCTTGCCCTCTGAGGAGACCCAAATCGTGCCAGGAAAACACGGCCCACGCGACGGCGGTCCCGCCAGAACCCGGCACCGTGGGACGGGACCGCTGGAGTCTGTAAGCTTCCTCTGGCAGGCGCCACGCACTGACTCGTCCGCTTGTTGCGAGCAGGGTGAAGGGTGACTCATCCGACCATGTGATTTTTTTTCCGCCAATCAGGAGACCGCTGTCTGCAGGAGTGGAAATCAAAAATCAGCCTATTTCGGAGCAACGACATGGCAATGAATGGAGTTCTTATATAAGTTAGGACACACATTTTGGCTGCTTTCACGCAAAAGACATATCCTAAGCACAGTATTACATAATTAGTATTAGTATTACATAATAGTGAACAATATAATAGCAGACACTTTATTGATCCCTGGGGGAAATTCTCTTTACACCTCCACTCACTTGCTTTCTCTAGGTAAAAATAAGATGGTCGCAAAGGGAAGCCCCCCCTAGCAGCACCCAGGGAGGTGGGGGTTAAGGGCCTTGCTCAAGGACCCACAAATGCACCAAAGGGGCCCAAACTGGCAACCTTCTGATCACAGGCTTAGCCCACTCCGCCACACACTGCCTACACTCTGCTCTACTCTTTTATACTATGCTATACTACACTATACTTTACAGCCCTCCACAAGCACAGCTGTTAAGTTTTGTCAGCAAATTCAGCAAAGTCCTTTGTTCATAGCTGTCACCATTTCAGACGTCTACAGCACATATGGAAAATCCCTATAATCAGAACTAATACATAATGCATAGAAGCTCACCGGTAAGCTGGTATCTGCAAGATGAAGCTCATCAGACACAGAAGTCGCAAAGACAGCAGTTGGAAGGAGGAGGAGGTACCCAGAGAGGAGGAGAGCCCCGGCTCTATGGAGGTGGAGGTCCTCTGAGAACAGGAGATGAAATCAATGCAGCTGGCTCATCATGTTATAAATCATAGAAGCAAGTCCAGTTAATTCTCAGTAGAACAGCTGTAGCCTCTATAATAACAATAAGCGAGAATGAGAGCAAGTGAAGGAGCACATTGACTCACAATGTTTCAGTACTGAACAGGTTTCATTTAGTTTGCAGAGGGTTTTAATCCATTAGGGTCTTGCTTATGAAGCACAGCAATGACCACGACCTGGTGGCAGGAGGGAAACTCCCACTCAAACGGAGGCTGCCTTTGGGAATAGAGCCATGTTTGAGAGGCAGATGACACAGACAACCAAACCTGTACAGCAAGATGGTTGAAGTCTTAAACAAAATTGACAGGTACAAAGCTGCTGCAGAAAGTAGTATTCATAAGTAGAATTGGCCCTGACCCCTTTTCAACAGTTAAACTATATCTGTATCAAGTTCATATCAACTTCAATGTACCTAAAGTAACGCGGCCGAATCAGTGGCAATGGACCTTCAAACCTTCAGTGGACGTTCCAGGCTAAATATGTGTACAGCCCAACTGAGAGAAGATGTGTCACGTGAATAGAATAAAATAGTGACACTTCATTAATTGGCTGGTTTTTGCATATGCCGTCTTGCTCGGCATGAGACACATAAGCATACAGGTAAGAGCTGCTTCTGGTTCAGAGAGCAGCATCGTTATGGATCTCAAGGTGATGTCACTCTGTTGCTCGTAGGATTTGAAACGGAGCACTTCT